GTTCCTGTAAGGATGTGGTTCAGGGAGTTGGCACAGGAGAGAGTGTTGCCGTGGGCAGGGGTGCACGCTCGCTTGGGATCTGCCACGCTGCCCATCAGGTGGCATCTGAGAACGGCCTCTCCCGAGTCCCTCCGCGCCTGTGAGCCACAGAGGGCCACTTTGTGTGGCACCTCTGGTCTCGGTCATGATGCCCAAGCATGCACTGGATACGCCTATCTCACCCCTCCCGGGGGTGGGACAGGCTGATGTTACTGCCACTGGAACGGTTTCAGCAGCTGGAGGGGACTGCCTTCGGTGAGCTTCCCGCCTCTGCCCGTGTGCCCTGTCTCCTGCAGGCTGGGGACTCACTCGGTGACGGCAGCTCTGTGCTGGATTTCATGTCTGTGAAGTCGTATTCGGACGTCTCTCTGGACATCTCCATGCTTGGGTCTCTGGGTAGGTTGTGCCAGGCGCCCCTTGTGGCCTGCAGTTGAGTCCGCGGGCTCCATCTTCAGGATTGCTGGCCTCCTTGGATCCTGTGCATGGATGCAAGGATGAGCTGTGACGTGCTTGCATGTGCTCCATGTGATAGGCTGGCTGTTTCACGACCCAGATCCCTGGTGGTCTGTGGTGGCCTGTGCACTTCCCCCACTGGCCTGTAGACAACCTATGGTCTGCCTTGGTGGCTGTCCCCTGGGAGCACCCCCCACCATGGCCGTGTGTGGAGACGTCTCTGTTTGTCATGTGGCACTGTGGTGCAACTGGCATTGGTGGGTGGAAACTGGAGATGCCACTACACGTCCAGAAATGCAGATCAGCTCCCACGAGAATGACCCTGTCCCAGAGGCAATTGTTAAAATGCTGTCAATGTATTAAAAGTGGGTGCGTCAGACTTACAGAGCAAACTCCCGATTGCTTTTGCTCCCATCCTGACAGTCTCTTCCTTTGGTCGGAATGTCTTTATAGATCATTTGTGTTTAATGTAATTACCTGTCCTGTTGGATGTAGGTCTGCCATCCTGCTGCTTTTCTGTTTTTTCAATTGTTTGGGGCTCCCCAGGGCCACCCCAAGTCTTGATGACTCCCAGGACTTGGTAGCCATACTCATGGCTGTGGGTCGATTACAGTAAAGGATATGGACCAGAATCTACAAAAGGGAAAGTGTGGGGAGCTTCAGGGGGTACCAGATGGGAGCTGCCCAGGCCCTTTCTCACAAGAATCCCACCAGACTCTCCTGACCCCCTGCGGCAAAGTGGGGTGGCATAGGCACCTGCTGCTAGACTCCTGGGGGAAAGCAGGTGTTTGGCGTAAGCCATGCTGATCCCCACTCAGTCAGGGAGCTCCTCCTGTCATTCAGGTGGTGGGGCCCTCCTGAAAGCAAGCTCACAGCCATGGGCCCACCTTGCCTTCCAGCGCTGGCATCTCTGGCTGCTGTGTTAATGTTTCCTGCCAACTAGTCCTTGTTCCTCTGGGTGCATTGAAGATTCTCTCCTTACCACTGGTTTTCAGTAGTTGGTTATAATGTTCCTTGGCTGGCTTTCCTTCAGACTTACTCTCTGGGCTACGCTCTCCCTGTTGGGCCGGCAGGGTGTGGAAGTTGGCTTTACCTCTGCCAGCAGTCACCTGGACCTGCCTTCCCTCTGCCATTTCTGGCCATCTGGCACTGTGTCCTCGAGGGCCCCAGGGCCTTTCTTCTGTGGCCGCCCCTCTATGGGGCTTCCCGGCCCTTCCCATCTCTGGGAGCCCCATTCGGCTTGTTCAGCTTCTTCTGCTTCCCTCTGCACCAGCATGTGCCCTCCTTGGACATGGGGAGTGGGTTCCCCTCACCGTCCCAGAGCCCTCCTGCTCAGCTCTGTGTCTGCATTCCTGGTGGGCTCTTCCCTGCTTCCGCCCCTGCCTGGTAGTGGTTCACGGGACGCCAGGCTCTGTGGTCGGGCCGTTGGTACTAAACTTGGTTACACACTTGAGCTGAGGTGGTCTTGGGCCGCTGGGCAGCTTGGAGCCATCAGGCCACCCAGCTTCTGCCCTGCAGCATTCTGAGGAGGGCCCAGAGCCCAGTCAGTATGGGGCAAGCGTGGTCCCACTGTTCAGCCATGCGCTTCCCGCAGGCTTGGGCCAAGTCGTCCGACAGCGTGTGAGCCCTTCACTCCACAGCAGGGCCATGTCCTCACCAGGCAGGGACGTGCTTGGCTGAGACTCGGGAGCTCTCAGTGTACTGCTGGCCGGGCCCCTCGGGTTCCCCCTCGTCTGCAGGCTGGTCACACTCGCCATCCTGCTTTGTAGTTCCCTCTGGCGGTAGCACCCCATGGGTTAGATGTTTCCACTGAAGGTGGACCTGGGGCTCCCATCTGCCATACTGCCCTTCCTACCCCAGCCTCCACTCGGCCCCCACAGCCTCTGCTTTCTTGTGCTGGTCTGTTCACTCACTCGGGTGGTGTCCTGAGCGTGCATGCTGGCGGTGAGGGATGGTTGCAGGTGTGGGGGTGGTGCTGGCTGCCCAACATTGCTGCATTTGCAGGGAAGGTGAAGAAGGAGCTGGACCCTGACGATAGCCACCTGACCCTGGATGAGACGGCCAGGCTCCTGCAGGACCTGCACGAGGCGCAGACGGAGCGTGGGGGCTCCCGGCCACCCTCCAACCTCAGCTCCCTGTCCAACCCCTCCCCCTCCGACAGGGAGCAACGCCACCTGGGTGAGGGGCTGCCTCGGGGGGCATAGGGTGGAATTCAGTCTGGGTGGGGCCTGGGCAGTGGACCCCGGCTACCATGGAGGGGCTTCAGGAATGCGGGCTGCTTTCTGCTGTGGACAAGTGTGTGGTTCCTGTAGGGCTATGCTCTGGGGAGAGCATGCCCTTCCTTGGCCCGGGATCTCCTGCATTTAGTGTGTGATGGGGAGCGTAGGCACATTGGGACCCCCCTAGGATGTTCTGGCCCCACCAGGAGGGACCGAGGGTTTGCCCTCTGGCTCCTTGCGTCTGCCTGAGTGTTGTCACCTCAGCCCCGGATGAAGGTCTTAGCTGTGCGGTCAGCAGAGCAAGTCTTGGCATTGGGTGGGCAGCCCCAGAGCCCCTGAATTTGTCTGTTCCAGCCCCACAGACGTGTGCTGTGTGGAGTCAGGGTCCCCTCTCCCATACAGGCGGTCCACAGCCCATCTGTGAAGAGTAACCCTCTGTCCCCCACCCCAGGAGAAATGGGGTGGCCCGTCCCCAGGAGTGTGTTTGGGGGAGGCCTGCACCCTGGGCAGTAAGGGGCAGCCCATCCCCAGGAGTGGGTGGGAGGATGGCCTGTACCCCAGGTGGTGAGGGGCGGCCCCCCAGGTGCAGGTGGGAGGGCAGACTGTACCCTGGCAGTGAGGGGTGAGCTGTGGCTCTCTGGCCATGTCCTGGGCTTGCTGACAGTGGTCATGCAAACCCAGTCTCTTGATTTAGGGCCCCTGAGTGTGCAAGCATGCACAGAGCCTGGTGGGCAACACCCTGTCTATTCCATAATTGCAGGAAGCCCTTCTCGCCTCAGTGTTGGTGAGCAGCCCGAGGTGACCCACGACCCTTATGAATTTCTTCAGTCCCCAGAACCTGCAGCCTCTGCAAAGAGCTAGCCTAACGGAGCATCTTCAACTTTTTTTATATTTTTTTATTTGCATGTATAGTCTTTGTTGTGAGAGACTTTCATTTTGTTCCCTCTGCCATGTGGGAGGCAGCCCTGGGGATGGGGTGCCTCGTCTGCAATCACGTCAGCCACAGTGCAGTGTTTCTGTAGCAGCTGCGGTCCTGAACAGTAGAGAACATAGATAAAGGCGTGTGACCAGACAGTGTGGGCTGCTGTGGTCTCCCAGCACCCTTCCCTAGCCACCCTGGGGAGGCAGAAGAGGGTGTGTCTGTCCGCCTTCTGTTGGGAGCCCCGCCTGTCCCTGGGGCCTCCCAGGTCCCGGGCATGTCATGATGAAGAGTGTTCTGGTGTGGTGAGCAGCTGACATGCCCTCTGGCCTGGGGCCAGCTGGCAGTTAGAACAGTGTCCCCTCCTCTAAACCTCGAAAGGCCCGAGTTCTGGTAGAGACAGTAAGCTGCCCCCTGGCTGTGGTGAGAAACTGCCTGCCCGAGGACATGTCCTGGACACCCGTTCACATTTGAAGAACACAGCACAGATCTTGACAAAAGGCACACACGGTCCTGTGAGACGCCCACTTCTGAGTGACTGAAGGAAAATCCTTTCCCAGAAGATGGGGGTGGTTCCTCCTGCTGTCGTCTCCCATCTTCTCAGCATCTAGACCTGTTCTCCACCCGCTGCGAGGCCTACGGTCACCCACCGAGCTGCCTGCTGTGCCCCTCAGTGTGAGAGCAGAATGGAATCCACTACCTCGGGGGCAGGGTCAGTCCTGAGGGAGGAGGTATGCCTGCCTGGGACGGTGGGCCTGCTGGCCACCGACTGCCCGGGATGCAGGCCGGCCCCAGCACTGTCTGGATTGGAGAAAGGTCCCAGCACCCGTGGGAGGCGATGTGTGTCCGGCGTAAGAAGAAAAGAGTTTGTCAGCTGGGTGTCAGCGAAGGAGCAGACACCCAGGGGCAGGCCCAGGAGCTCGGACCCACTGCAGCTGGCCCTCTGCTGGCCCCATGCCCATGAGCGCCCACATCTGTGCCACCCCGCATCCATGGGCATCCCAGGTGGTGCGGCGGTAGAATCTGCACTTCTAGGCTTGGGTTGGGGGTGGGTGCTGCACTCGCCCAGCCCTGGTTCTGGATGGGTCTCGAGGGTGTGGGTGCTGCGGTCACCATCCGGGAGCCTTTCCCACTTCCCGGCCCACGGCCTGAGTCCATGTCCATGCCGACGTGGGCACAGTGCACAATGGCAAGGCTGGCTGAGACACGGTGAGGGCCTAGAGCCCCAGACTCCAGGAGGGCATGGACTCCACCTCAGGGGCCCTGCCAGATGGTGTGAGCACCACCTGGCTCAGTGCAAAGCTGCAGCTGCCTCCTGCCCCGGGCTGTGGTGCAGATGGTCAGGCCAGGTGGGCAGCCCGGTGCCCCTGAGAGCAAATGCACAGCGAGGCCTATGTCGCTGCTCAGGAAGCTGCATGCCCACTAGGAAGTGGGTCCCCAGGAGCATCCAGGGCCCAGGCCTTTCCTTCTTAATCTTCATTTGGTAAAAAGGTGATACAAAAATGTGTTCTTTGTTCTCTGTATGGTGAGCAAGCGCTGCCTTTGTGGCTTCTGGAGTCACCTTCATGGAGCACAGGTACCTCTGAGGAAGGATCATTTCTTAAAAGGTGTGAGCAGCTGGGCCCCCCAACCCCACTGGAGGATTGAGGTCCCCTGGGCTGGTGCCTCCCTGCCCCTGAAACCCTGGCAAGCCCTGTGCCACACGGGACCTGGCTGGGGGCCTACTGCACACCAGGGGCCCGTGTGGAGGCCACCCACCCCAACAGGACTGGGGTGGCCATCATGGCCATACACGTGTCTGGCTGTTGATCCCGAGTTATCAGACATCTTCAGGAGCTGTGAGGCCATCCTGATGGACAGCCTTGGCCACACATCAGCCCCATTCAGGAGTCACAACCTCGCCACGGACCACATCTTTCTCAGGGTGAAAGAATGCCTGCTTTTGAGGGGTGAATGCCTTTGTTTTTAGGGACCAATGACTGTGGCTCATATCTTCCGCAGCCGCGGCCCCTGCTATGCCATTGGCTGGTCTCAGGTCTGAGACCCCAGTCATGTGGTCTCATTGCCTGGTGTCCCTGTGGTACATGGTGGGCTCCATCCACGCCACTGTCTCGGGCCTGGCTGGGCAGCACTGTGGCTGGCAGTAGCTGGCTGTGGGAATCTGGGCTCCTGCCTCACTTGGATGCGGTTTTTGGTCGGAGGTCAGTGCCACTCTGTTGGTGGCAACTGGGGCCTGCCCAAAGTGGGTGCTTGCTTGTAGGGGCCCTGGGAGGCAGCCACCTTCTCCACTGCCTGGTGACTGTGCTCCGGCTGCCCATTCCCTGGGTCCCTGAGCCTGGGGATGCCAGGAAAGCGTCTTGGGCCTCGGTCTCTGCTGCCTATTGTCAGCCAAGGATTCTGGGTGAGCATCCCTGTCGACCTACGGAAGCCTTGCTCCCTGGAGATCTGCAGGACAGCACCTCCTGGCTGGGGGCACACAGCAGCTCAAGGAAGCGGGATCCAGGTGAGCAGACAGCATGGGCGCTGAGGAACTGACATGAGCAGGGACTGGAGGGCTGCGGCAGGGTTCCTGCTGTGCAGTGCGCCCACAACCCTCACTCCCCAATTCCTCTCCTGCTGGGCCTCTCATGGGGCAGAGTCTAAGCCAGAGGCCCACACCAGAGCACACAAGCCTGGGTTCCAGGGGCAAGGAAATTGGGTCAGATGCCTGGAGTGCTTGGCCATTGACCCCTGAGGCCAGGAGGGCTGTGGGCCAGCTGCTTTTCCACTGAGGGGCTGGTGTAGGAAGTACGCTCAATGCTCAGGGTACAGGTGGGGAGGGGCTCACGAGCCCTATGCCTTCCACATGGAGTCGCATAGGGTCTGACTCATGCCCCCCAGCCAGCAGTGGGGTCTCTGGGGCTGGGCCCTGACTTTGTGAGGTGCTTTGGGTTCCTTTACTGCCATGTCAACTGCAGGCCTGGCTGTGCCTCAGTGGGGCCTATGCCAAGCAGGGGGCGACTGCTGCCCTGTGGCACCTGTACCCTCAGCTGTGAACAGGTGAGCGGCGGGCACTTGACTCTTTCTCATCAGGAGCTGGCAGCTTTGACTGCAGGGCCTCCCAGGGCACAGCAGTGGCCATCAGAGCAATTGGGACCTGATGAGTGATGGGGCTTAGGAGATGTTAGCACAGAGGTCATGGTGTGTGGGCTGTGTGTGGCATGTAGCATGTGGGGGGTATGTGGCATGAGCTTCCACAAGTCAGAGCCTTGTCTGTGGCTGGTGGGGCAGGACCCTTGGCGGTGGTGGGACAGATGCTCAGTGGAGCAGGGACGAGCACCTGCTGTTGCTGGCAGGTCGGAACCCCCAGTCACCACCTCTGCAGGTGGAGAGCCATCACCTGCCTGGCATGGCAGCCAGCACCCTGCACCCTCCCTCATGCTGCTGCAGAGGAGCATCTGAGTGGGGGCCATGCTTGTGTCTGCAGGGGGCTCTGTTGGGGGTGAGCTCGACTAGGAAGACCCCCGAGTAAGCCCCACATGGATGCAGTAGATGGGCATCCCCAGGTGTGGCTGTCACCCAGTGCCCACCCTGGCTGGGAGGCAGCACAAAGCACTTAGCCAGGTGCCTGCACTGTTTGAAGGAGCTGATCAAGAAAGGAGAGTATGGGAAAAACACACGTTTCTCTTTGCATGTGTTTCACACTAGGTGTGAATGTTTGATGCTATGGAGCCATCTGAGCGAAGCCTCTGCATGTGGCCGTGGCCGTGGAGAGCCCAGGCTGCATCTGCTGTCGGCTCAGGCCAGGGCCCCCGTGTATGGAGAACCATGCGGACTGCAGCCCCAGCCAGGGCCCTGCAGGCAGACCTCATCCCAGTCATCGGGGCATGTGTGCCCACCCTCCATCATGATGCCCTCAGGCTGTGGGTCTGACTGGAGGGAGTGGGCCTGCAGCGGGCGACTTCTTCATGCAATGCACATCATGAATGGAGAGTCTTGGTGTTTGCAGAGCCTGCACCCTCCACGTCTTCACATATCTGGCCTCGTGGTGCTCACGTGGTGGCAGTTTGTCTGGGTCTGTTTTAGGGTCAGAATGCTCGGAACCTAGAGACCTGTTCTGCTCAGTCCTACAGACTCTGACGCCAGACTCGAGGGTCCACCTCAGTGATTGTGCTCCTCCCAGGACATGCGTGGGACCGGGGACCAGCTGCAGGCTCCCCAGCACAGGCCTGCAGTCAGCTGCCCCGGGACAGTCACAGTCCTGCACACACTCGCCCTCCTCCCTGTCTGCCTCGCTGTCTGGATGTCCCGGCAGATACCGTGTCTCCGGCTCCTGTTCTGCACGACACTTGGGTTCCTATCACACCTGCGACAGTTCCCGTACTCCCTGAAATCAGGGTTCCTGGAATTCCCCAGAATGCTGGAACTGGTCTCCACCAGTGTCCCTCCTGTTTGCTGGCCCTCCCATCCAGATGCTGCCTTTATTTGGAGATTGGGTCCAGTACAGACAGCCTCTTTGTGTTCTGGGCCCCAGCACCTTGGCCTTGCTCCACAAACATGTTCTCTCAGGATGCCCAGGATTCTCACATAGGCTCGGGCCCCCATGACTCCAAATCCACCTGACACCCCATCCAGAGAACGAGAGCGGGCGGCCAGGAGCAGTGAACCATAGCCCCGGTCTGCTCCGAGGATTCTCAAGGGGTGGTCCCAACGCTGGGAGCCACAGAGCAGTCCTCCCGCCCACCATCACGCCATACTAACGTGGACTCCATTTCCTGGGCATTGTGTTCCCAGGAGACCAGGGCTTAGTGTGGCAGGTCTGCTGCTGCTCAGTCCCACCTGTGCGGCTGACAGGCGGCTCGCCCCAACACCCCTGAACACTTGCAGTACCCTCCTTTCCTGAGGGCCCTGCCCCCTGGCATCCCAGAAGCACTGCGGTTCCCTCCCAGCTGCCCAGCCCCAGGCAGCTCCAGGATGCCAGCGGGCCGTGGCTGACAGGTCTTCCCACCCGTGGAAGGAATGGCACAGGGCGTGTCATGGATGAAAAGGGCCGTCATCCCTCCGGCCACTTTGCTTTTCCTGCGTTTCCCCAGTTTCCCTGGGGTTGGGCCTCTGATACGGGTTTTCTGCCTGCATCTGGGGAATCTCCATATGGGTCTATTGCATTTTAAACAGGTCCTGGGACTCTGCTGGAGTGGTTCCCTGGCTGGGAGCCACTGGGAACTGCGTGCGCCTGGGGTCCTGGCAGATGGGAGCCCCTCCTGCTCGTCTTGTGGGCTACATGCCTCCCAGGGCTGTCTGCAGCTGTGCCACCACTGTGGTAACGGTAGGCTCTGCAGGACCCCTGACCCCTGTCGGCTCTGCCACCAAAGGCCGTCCCTGGCCCCCAGGGTCCCCTGGCCATGCCACACTGCAGACAGGAGTCCATGGCCTGCCGTGCCCTTGCTCCGTCTTGCAGCAGGAGCTGCAGATGGGTCACCCCAGAAGCCGCAGCGGACGGGGAAGCTGGCCTTGCCACCTCACCTGTCCTGAGTGAGCAGCTGGTTGAAGCCCCTGCACTCCTTCCAGGCGGTGGCCTGGGCCACGTTCCTCATCTTGGCTGTCACCAGCTTTGGCATCTTCAGCCCCTTCCTGTCACACAACTGGAAATAACGTTGCCTCTGGTGTATCCTTTATGGGGGCGCCTGCTACCTGAAGTGGGATGGGGCTTTTGCCAGCTCCAGGCCCTCTGCTTGCTGGCCATGTGATCCTCTGCTACTCTGTCCTCTGCATGGAGTCACCAGCGGGAGTGGCCTGACCTGTCCCCCACCCCAGTGCCCTCACTGCACCCCACACACACCCACTATCACAGCACCCGAAACCCTGCACTTCTCCATGTGGCTCATGAGCTTGAGGTGCTGGCAGAGATGCTCACTGGGGAGCACAGGCCCCTTGCCCACCCTGGGCACAGGGAGAGTGGGCCAGGGGCCTGGGGCAGCAGGGGGCTATGGCAGGGCAGAAGGCCCCAGGATAGAAGGACTTGCACAGTGGGTCCCTGTAGCTCTCTAAGAGGTTGCAGAGTGTTCTGCCCAGCACAGGGCAGGTATGTTGATAGGGAAGCATTTCAAGACTACCATCCCTGGGAGCTGTCGGGCAACCCTTGTGGCTGGTGACCTTTCTCACCTGAGACCTTCCTGGGGGCTGTGTCGGGTGTGTGGGGCCCTATGTCACACCCACCCCATCCTGGGTCTGCAGCACTTGACCAGGGGACCCTGGGTCCCCACCAAAGGCCCCCTGACATTGGTGCCAGGGACAAGCAGGGTCACTGTTGGACCCACATCCCTGTAGTGGGAAGTAGCTGGTAGCTCCCTTTGCAAGGATATGGCCTGCACTACCTGTGTCCCTTCCCGGCCAGGAGTGTGTAATAGGGGGGTGTGGGTGGAAGGGAGGTGACTGGGCAGGACGCAGGAAGGACCCAGGCCTTCTCTCAGACCTCAGCCATCTGTCCTGAGCCTACAGCTTTAAAACAGTAGAGGACGGCGTGATGGCCCAGGTGCAGCCAGCCAGCTACAGCTAGATTCTGCCCATCTCGCCCCATGCCTCATGCACAGATGCTGCAGTGTCCTTACAGCCGGCGCTGTGATGCCCAGTGTGCTTCTGGTGATGACTTGGGTGCCCACAGCCACCATTCTATGACTTTCCCTGAAAGGTCACACAGGATATCACCACCCAGTCCTTACGCTGAGACTGACTTGCCCCGCTTTCTGAACAAGTCCTTTGGTAGATGCATGGGCCCCTCTGGGACACCACAGGGCCCGTGTGGGGTGAGGTTGCTGTGCCCTGAAGGCCCCCGCCTGTGATTGTCAGAGGGACCAGGGCATCTCCCTCACACTAGATTTTTTTGTGTAGATGTCTTAAATAGAAGGAGGACTATTCAGATTTTCTGTTTAATCTTGCGTCTGTTTTTATAAATTGTACTTTACCCAAAAATGTGTTTCATCTAAATTGTCAGATTTCTCGTAATACAGTTGCTTGTGCCGTGCCCTGTTTTAGTGTCTGTGGGAACACCTGCCGTGGGACCACCCACCGTGGGCCTGCCCACGCCAGGCTATCACTTTGTTTATTGAATCGTTTGCACTGCAAGATTGTAATTTTCTTTCTCTGCGTTTTTTTTTTTAAGTGTCTGCTTTTATTTTTATTATTTCTTTTTGTTCACTTTGGGTTTACTTTGCTCTTCTACCTTCTTCAGTGGACACTTAGGTCATGAATTTTAGACCCACAAGTTTCCCTCTAAGCAGATGCACACATGCAGATGTGCACATCAGTGGCTCACACACCAGCCACAGGCACCTACACGTCACGCACAGGAGCACAGGTGCACAGGGAGGGGCTCCCTCGCCCTCACTGTCTCCCAGCTCAGAGAAGGGCGTCTCCCGGGAATCTGACATTCAGTCTGTGTCCTGACCAGGCCCCACTCATCTGCAGTGTCTGGAGGGGGTGCAGACAAGCAGGGGCCCAGGGGACATTAGCCACCGGCCACCTCTCAGCTGCCCTTTGTTGTGCTCATTCAGCTTGTCTTGGTTTGCAGGTGATGTCTAGGCCCGAGAGTGCCAGCCTTAGCGGGGACAGGATGAGGGTGTGGGGGGAGCAGAGAGCCTGCCTGCCATGTGGAGCGGCGGCGCACACCACGAGGAAGAGTGAGTCAAGCCAGCCCTCCCCCGGGGCCCTGAGACAAGGCTCACAGGTGCCACATCACCAGGGCAGGGCCCGAGCCAGGCAGGGCTGATCTGGCCCAGCCAGGTGGGCACACACCAGCTGTCGCCAGGCATATGTGTGGAAGGGCTGACAGGGCAGCTGCTGTGCTTCCCTGCGGCCTCACAGGCACCGCCAGCCTTGCCCCCTTCCTCATGCCTGGCGGGTGTTTCTTGGTTCCTGGTGACAGCCACTCCAACCCATGCCCTGTGGCTCCCTCCTGTACAGACCCCACCAGTGAGCTTTAACAGCCACCATGGCCCCGCCCTCTGCCTCCCCAGCTCCATGCAGCCTCTGACCTGGCCAGCCTCCCCCATCACCATGTCCCTGAACATGTCTGGTCCAGGAGCTGAACACAGGACAGTCGTCGGTCCTGTGTGCGCTGAGCAGAGCTGCCCCAATTTGGGGTTCCTGTGCCTCGTGGGAACGGTGGGATTTCCAAAGCCCCACGTGACCCCCATAGCTTGTCTTATCACAGCCACAAGATGGGAAGCAGCTTGACAGTCCCCTAGGCAGCCCATCCTGAGATTCTCCAGCGGCCCCAAAACATGCTGTGTCAGGTCCTGTTAACCTGGGGATCCAGGCTCACACCTTGCAGGTGGTGCTGGGGTCTAGGTCTCTGGTCCAGCACAGCGCTCACCTGCCTCTAGTTGGGCAGCGCTTGTGATTTTCTCTACCACGGTGGCGTCCAGGCCTGTGCCAGTGTCATGCCCTCTGGTCTACCCAAGGCAAGGAATACCTGTCTGCCCTCGTCCAGATGTGCTCTTATCTGGAGCCTGTGAAGTGTGGGAAATCTTCCAACTTTGCTGCCCTCCTGCGTTGTTCGGCTGCTGTTAAGGGTGTCTCCTTGGCGGCACTATGAAGCTGCTCTGTATGAGCTTCCCAGGCTGCCAAAAAAGCCACAGTCCTCTCTCAGCCTGGGCCAGAAATGGAGGTGTGGGCTGGGAGGCTCCAGGGAGGATGGACCCAGGCCTGTCCCAGGTCTGACGGCTTCAGCGTCCCTCAGGGCAGCCATGCTAGGAACTCTGCTCTGGCCACTGGGGGGCACCAGCGTCATTCAGCGTCGCAGTGAGTGTGGCCAGTGGCCTGTGGCTTGGGATGCCCGCCCTGGAAGCTGTGCTTTGTTCCTGGAGGGGTCCCTGCCCTTGACTCCACAGGCATGAAACCTCAAAGGTGGACGGATGCAGCATAGAGGCCAAAGGAATCCATTCTCCTGTTCTGCAAAGGGCAACAGCTCGATGCCCTCCGTCTGCTGTGTGGAGGGACTGATGTCACTTCATTTCACCCAGGAGAGCCTGGGCAGAGCCCAGGGCAGAATGGACCCGGCCGCATGGCACCGCGCCACCCCAAGGGGTGCCCCTCCAGCACCAGGGCTGGCCGGGTGTGGACATGACCATGCCGGTGGGAACTCCATATGGGCTCCCTCCACCGCCTCTTCCTGCCAGAGAACAGGACAGGAAAGGTTAACAGCAGCCAGCCGAGGGCGTGTGTCCTGGCTGGCGCCTCCGTGATGTTTATTTACTAAACACAGATTGTTGCTAGGGGACGTTCAGTTGGTTCTCAGAGCAGCCTCGCCTGGAACTCAACCACAGTGGCCTCCTGCCTTACGTGAAAGCGATAGCTTGAACCCAAGATGCGAGGTAAAATTACACCTGAAGGTGGAGGCAGGGACCTGTGGTGGGCAGAGGATCGGCTGCCCGTTCACGTGTGACATCTTGAGCAAAGTGTAGCCAACTCAGCATAGCAGCCCTGTGGGTGGCCTGGGTGTTAGCGGGCCCACCTGGCCCCGGCTGATCACTGGGCTGTGCCTGGTGAGACAGTGGTGGGAGACCTGCTCCTGTTCGTGCTGCAGACTGACTGCTTCCTGCGTGCAGGCAAGACCCAGCGTATCTGGGCACTTGGGGTCCCTGCCCTAGAAGCTGTGCTTTGTTCCTGGGGAACATGTTCTGGGAAGTGGCCTGGTCCCGGCACCTGCAAGTTTGGAACGGCTGGGAACATTGGCTGTAGACAGCTCTGCAGGGTTGTAGCAGCTCCATGTGTGAGCTGAGTGTAGAAGGGGGGCAAGGATAACCCCATGCAACTCAGTACTGGCTTCACCTGCCACCTGGGTAGACGCCACCCACCCTCCTGACCACCCCACCCGCCGGTTTCTGATGAGGGCAGAGGAAGAGGCCATCCCTAGGCCACAGGCAGCTTCCTGCCGCATCCCCTTGTCCTCAGCTGTCCCCTGCCTGTGTCCTGCCACACAGGATGGACATGCTTCTGTTGCCCCAGTAACCACACAAACAGTGTTGTGCGTCCATCCTGCACTTCAGGGAGCAGGGGGGCCAGCGTGCCAGGCCTGTGCTACCCCTTCACTGGGCCACCCCGTCTGCCTGCTCAGCAGTGGAGTTGGGGTTGCTCAGGCCCTACCCTACTGCAGGGAGGGGCCGGGTGTCACCGTGTCCCCTAGTGGCACATTCCCTAGCCCCACAAGCGTCCCCAGGTTCTCAGTTATCTCGCACCCACTTTCCTGGTCCCCCTGGAAACTGCTTCCTGTGTCTCCATACCCACACCGATACCCAGGCCTGGGCTGTTCTCAGCACCTGGAGGCTGGAGAGCCGGGGAGGTAAGGGCAGCTTTGGCCTGAACCGGCCTCCCACCTGGCGCCTTAGCCTGGTGCTTGTTGCTCACAGGCCTGTTGGGCAGACGTACAGTGACCCCAGGCCAGGGCCCAGGTGGCCCCAGCCTGAGTGGCAGACCTGAGCCCACAGCGGGAGCCTGAGAAGGGCCCCACAAGGGGCTCCTGCGGTTTGGGGCAGGGATCGGGACTCCCTACCGGGAGCCTGCCTGTGCACTGGCCCTTCAGGGAAGCCACGGGCTGGGGGGCTTCTGCATGTGGCTGTCTCACCCACGGGAAGAGACCCTGTGGGCAAGCGTCTCTTCCCACCACATCCAGGCCACCCTCGCCCGGGAGGCAGGCCTGAACCCTGCGCCCTCCTGGCCCAGAACTCCTCGGAGAAGCAGGGCCAGTGCGGCAACTTCCTCCCCTGTTTGGTTTCTATGGGGATGGTGTGCCAGCCCCAGGGCATGGGGCGGGGAGGGGGCGTGTGAGGGCTTGTTTCCCCAGAGAGCTGGAGGATGGCCTCAGGCCACGCGTGGACTCCAAGTGACTGACACCCAGAGAGCCCCACAAATCTTCAAGCCACTGGCTTGTGCCACGAGGTCATGCCGGCCACTGGTGCCATGTTGGGACACGGGGCTACAGCCTGAGGATGGGGTCACCGACACCCACCAAAGCGTCCTGAAAGCCACCTGCCAGCATGCCCCACTTTGTCCCTTGTGGCTGGAGGGAGTTGGGCAAGGCCCTGGGGTGCAGGCCCTCCCCTTCCTGCAGCCAGCAGGCAACTCCAGGCCTCAGGGGCGCCTCAAGTCATGTGGCCTTCCAGGCCTGTTGTCCTTGACCCCCCAGTGACCGGTGGGCTCTTCTTTTTCCACTGCTTAGCAGCCCACTTGCTGGCCATGTCCACTGACCCGGCTAAGGCCAGCGTTCCCTTCAAGAATGACTCCAAGCCTATGCTGACCTTCCACTGGTCCAAACACACACATGTGATTCAGAACCAGTATTGCTGAGACAGGAACCGTGGGCTTAGACAGAGTTGGGTGAGGGCCTCTGGAGAAAGCAAGGCAGGATATGTACAGTCAGAGCCATGCAACTACATGCAAGGAAACCCCCTACCAAACCTCTGCATTAAACATGAAGCTCTGGAGCCATTCTGCTATGAGATCAGTTAATATTCCCCAGATAAATAAGATTCACTTTAGCACGCTAAAAGGCCCAGGCCTATGTGCTGTCTTTCCTCCTTCAGACCTAATGAGGTGATTTGCAATCTGGGCAATTAATAATGGCAAGTAAGCCCAGCCATAAACAACATAGTAAAAGGCAGGAAGGATTCCACCTTAAAGATAAGACTGCATTTTAATACCCAGAAAGTTAAGAAGTAAGATTCTTAACTTACTCTTTAGCAAACAATACCTTAGCCCACCTTGGGGGCTGGGGAGGCAGTCTTGTTTGATACCGTCCCAGAGCAAGAGGCCAGTATCTCAGGGAGAAATCAGAGGAGGAAGTTCCTTGTGTTAAGTCAATTCTAAATATTCAGGCACCACTTAACAAGTCTGCACCCCTAAGCCTTTTTTCATGTTTCCAAAAATCCTCAACTGCCTATAAAACCCCTAGAAAACACGCCACTATGGGGTCTCTTTTCCCCTCCTGGTGTGAGCCAGGAGCTCTGTCCTCTCACTGTGTAAGTCCAAGGAGAGGGAATCCCGGGGTAAAATACCTCTAAAAACTGAAATCAGTCAAAGGGAGAAGTAAAGTTTAAAATCCATTTATTGCTTACAAACTGCAGTCTGGGCCCTTCTCTCTCTCCTGCTCCAGCAGAAGCAAAACTGGCCTCCGCCTCACCTTGGGTACAGACATGCCCTCCTTGCCCAGGTAATTACCCATTGACATGAAGATGAACTTCTCTCCATCCCCGAGGAATGATGCAAATGCACTAAAGCCATGCTTCTTTCCACGTCTGAATACCCGTTGATATGCAGATGTACTAAAACCAGGTGAAATATTCAGGTAATATTACAATTTTACCCACACACTGTATCTCTCCGTAAAAGCCTCTTCCTGGCTCTCCTACCATGGGTGTTTGCTAAGTTCATTCTTCGACTCTGCAAACAAGAACCCCAGCATCATTGCCACCTGTGTGACATCACCGTGTGTATGCCTGGGCGTGGGAGTTGGCGACCGGTGATCTGAGTCTCTGGCTGCCACAGAGCCAGGGTCAAGGGATGCCTGCTGGGCCGGCACCTGTGGGGTCCCAAGGCACCTCTCCCTCCAGAGGGGCAGCCCCTGACCTGGGGCAGGGAGGGCACCATCTGTCTTGGGCCTCACAGTCTCCATGCCCCCCAGATTCACAGCCGGGAGCTGGTCAGGGCCAGGGGCACCAGAAGCCCCAGGGTGTCAGTGTGTGGCCTGGGAGGGGACCTGGCCAGCTGCTGACTCCTGCACAGGAGCACAGCCCCCACCCCTGGACCACGTGGAGGTGTGGCAGAGGGCAGGCCCTGCCACTGGCCCCTGACTCTTCTGCAGCCAGGCTGCTGCCCCTGTTTCTCCCTGCCAGGCCAGGTGCTCTGACCCTGCCCCCTCCCACACAGGCTGTGGACAGCCGCCCCCACATTCTTGCAGCAGTGCAAAAGCCAAGCACTGCAGCACCGGTAACAAGTGCATCTCTGTCTTCAACCACCACTGCAAGTGGTTCAACAACTGCGTGAAGGGTGGGAACTACTCGTGAGGGCTTTTCGGGGGTGGGGACCACGCAGGCCACATCCGTCCCCAGCTCAGTGGGCACTGCTGGTCTCCTTGTTGGTTCTGAAACACCTCTGGGTGGAGGCGACTCTGGAGCACCAGGTCAAGCCTATCCTCAGTCACCAGAGACCCTTCAGGGCCGCGAGAACCCAGCCCCTCTCCAGGGGGCACAGGCTGCACTGACGGGTCCCTGACCTGCTGGTCTGGGCCCCCCTGCCTGCCTTCTTCCCACTGAGGCTGCTAGGCGCCCAGCGCACAGGAGTGGGTCGTAGGTGGGCTCAGGGCGAAGGCTGCAGGGTTGCTCAGCTCCCCAGTGCAAGGTAAACGAAGCCAGACCAGGGAAGTGGCAACAGAGGAGCCAAAAAAAATGTATTAGCACAATTCCGGGCGAGGTTCACCGGTGCACGTATCCTCAGGCCAGGGAAGTCGCGCCCAGCAAGAGGGGTGGCAGGCTTATCAAGGGCACTGGGAGAGCTCTGAGGGTACCGTGGACAGAACTAATTGGCCGGTGTGGGTGTTGTGATCACTGATGATTGGTCATGCTGGGTTGCTGGGGAGAGAGTACTGCGACGCGAGTTCTAGGCGGGACCTGCGGCTGGGGACCTTCCATTGAATCATTTGGGTGACATTCGCCCTTCTCTTCCTTACTTGGCTCGAGTTGGGGTCCTCCAGTGAGACCCGTCCCTTCCTCCCATACCTCTGGTCTTGCACCCGGGTGTTAGAGCTATGCATCCTCAGGAAGACACCTGCCAACCGACCAGATGTGGAGCGAGCAGGCCTTGGCTGCAGCGTGTCCTCCGGCCGCTTGGTGGAGGGCGCAGGGGGCTCCATTGCTTCCCTACCATGTGGCAGCAGATGTTTAAAGTGGTTGCTGGTCACCAAGCAGGCGACCATGTGAGAAACACACCATTTGTGCTGCATGAAAGAAGCTTTGCTGCTCTGAGCAGAAGGCAATCCAAAGGCCTCCTGATGAGAAAAATCTCAACAGAACTGACAGGAAGAGCCCCGGGAGCCCAGTCCCATCACTTCCTCACAGAAGAGGAGCCTGCGATCGGGGTGGGACCAGCCTGTTCACAATGCTCAGCTCCTCCCTTCCTTAGGGGACATGCCTTTTTAAGGCTGAGGTGCCTCGGGGTCTGGTCCCCATCAGGGCACTGGTGAGGGTGTGTGGCCTTGCACATGAGGAGGGCTGAGGGGCCAGTGCCCTGGGGCACCCAGCTGGAGCTTGGAGGTCTGACGCAGCTCTGGGCCCAGAGCAGGCTGAGTGGGACCCAGCGGCCCTCCCCACATCCACCATGCCTGCTGGCTGTCCTTGTGGGAGCCCTGCGTGTACAAATGCACCCACTCTGGGGTACAGGCAGGGTGAGAGCAGAAGGCGACTCCAGCCATGTGCAGTGGGAGCCGACTGCCGGGCCTGCCCCAAATTCCCTCCCATCCCTTCACCTGTCAGGCGGAGAAGCCAGAGAGCACTGGTACTTGCAATGTGATGGGGCCCAAAGCATTGGCACAATACGTAACAGACCCCAAGGGAGCGGCCGGGTCAGCAGAGCAGGGGAAGAGGAGCCGGGAGCGGAGCCACTGCCACTCTGACCGGGCAGGACCGAGGCATGCAGACGCCAGGAGAGGAGGGACATGGTTCTCTGAGGCTGAGGGAAGGACAGCACCCACCATTTCCAGCACAGGCCATGGCCCCACCCCATCAGGGGTGCCCACCTCTCCCAAGTGAGGGGAGTTTTGCCCCGACAGCTGCTGGGTTTGGGCCTGACGGGCCGCTCCTGAGCACCCAGGCCCCCAGAGACCAGACCCCACATGGGGCCACAGCGCACATCCCCGCGACTGGGGACGTGGGAACCCGCACCCACGGGTTCACAGGACCCAGAGGGACATCGATCGGGGGCAGCTCAGGGCAGCTTCCTCCCAAGCTGCAGGGCCTGTCCACACACATCCAACCCGTAGAGAACATGCCATTCAGCCTCAAGAAACTTCCAGAAGTCTAGCAAAGAGTAATGGAGTCAACAATTTCAGGAGAACGAGACCGCCGAACATTGAAACTGCTACAGGAGCAGTTTTCTTGAGACACCATAATGGCAGAATGACTAAAGGCAGGCATTCTAGTGAAAGCATATTCCAAAAATTCACCCAGAACTTACTGTTGTGGGTGGCTGGACTATTCTCCACTACTGCGGAGCACAGACAAGGGGCAGGAGTGACTCTGGTCTAGTCTGTGCACAGGTGAGGGTCAAACTACTTTGCATCAGGCACAGCAAGGCTGCACCCAGCCCTTCCCAGCTGGGCCTCGGCACCCGATAGGACGGCCCCTGGGGCCCCCCACCCCAGGCTGAGCCAGAGCAGCCTCATTTTCCAGGACCCCAGGGCTCAGGTGGGGCTGAGATAGCTGCCGTCAGAGTGGGAGCGGGGACGCCAGCTCACTGGCTGCGAGCTGTGGCTGGGACACACCCAGGCTCTCAAAGGGCTGGGGACCTTGGCCCACACCGAGAAAACAGTTTCCCTGTGTGTGAGCTGGGGTGGTTGCCCCTCCCACAGCCTCTTGTGTGATCAAGTTTGATTCATGTTTCTAAGCTTGAGACGACAGAAAACTGTAGGGGCCAGTGGGAGTGGGCATACATTGGTGGCATCACGTGGCAAGCCTGTAAGAAGTGCTCAAAGGACAGAGGAGGAGAGAGGGGGCCTCAGGGGACCTGGGAGCAGGCTGGGACACAGGGCCGCCACACTGGGTCCTGCCCTGAGCCCGGCTCTGCCCCCTCACAGGCACTTCTCCAGCTCCGTGGCCTCTGCCTCGGCGGGCCTGCTGGGCCTGGTGGTCATCCTGCTGCACATCTTCACCCAGTTCTTCGTCGACCCAGAGAAGCTCTGCACAGACTCCTGCTACAAAGGTGTGCCACTGCCACTTCCAGGGTTGTGCCCGCTCAGTAACCGTGTCTTAGCCTCACTCTCCACCATCTTCTGGGTAAAGGTCTTCATTCTGGGTAGTTAGCCAGCTCACCCCCAGGCTGGGTGAGCAGAGTGGGCTGCCAAAGCTGGAGGGTGGCCTGTGCTCTTCTCTGGCAGCCCTGTGTCCATGCTTCCAGGTAGTGCCAGGCTTCCATGTGAGGTCCACACTCTGGCCCCCACTGTTGGTCGGGAGGGCTACCCAGGGACAAGGCCTGGGGGATGCATGGCTGCCAGCCCTGTGGGGCTCACAGCCCTCACTGAGTGGGTCCTAGAGTCCAGCCTTGGGGCAGATGTCCACATGTTGCTTGTGGGGCTGGTTGGCCTCAGAAGTGTGTCATGACCTCACCTTCAACCATGACTCTGCCCCTATCTGGAGAGCACGTCCTGTGACTAAGGATTTTGAGGTCCTCCTGGATTAGGGTGGCCCTGAATCTAATGACAGGTGTCCCTAAGAGAGACAGAGGAGGGCAGATACAGAGGCGAGGCCTCGGGACAATGGAGGCAGAGATGGGAGGACACAGCTACTGGCATGAGGGTGCCTGGGGCACAGCGACTGGGAGGACTCAAGAGGAAGGACCCTCCAGGGTGCCTCTGGCAGAAGCGGAGCCCGGCCTCCAGCCCCAGACCTGACGGAGGATGAACTTCCATTGTCGAAGCCACTCACCTCTGGCCATCAGTCACAGCAGCCTGGGCCCTGCAGGGAGGGGCTCAGGGAGGTCACCTCCCTGAGCCTGTCCTGGTTGCTCCGGGACCCACCTGGGCACCTCTGTAGAGCACATCACAGCCCAGTGCACTGGGCAGGAGAATTTAGGACCTTGTCACTCAGCCCAGAACGTTCTGGGAACCCCCAGCCTCACCCCCAGTTCCCACACCTCAGGTGCTGCCTGCCCTCCATGGATGACACCCTCCTGGGGATGTGTGCAGCAGGCCAGCCTGGAAGACCAGAAGCAAGGATGCAGTGGGGTATCCCCCACACTCCCTGAGCCTGTGCTACAGGAGGGGGCCAGCTGGCCTGGAACGCGGTGGCGCCATTCTGCTGCTACGCCCACTGTAGAAGATGCCGTCTCCCGGCAGGGACATCACGCTGTGAATGTTTGCCTGGCCTGCCGGCTTCCAGCAGATATGCCCTTGTGAGGATGGACCCCTAAATGCATCTGCCTCTTTCTGCAGTGACAGTGAGTGGTGGGAGTCTCTGGAAGAGCAGGCCCTGCTCAGCAGGAATTGCTGCGTGCGTCTGGACACAGCCAGCCAGATGCCTCGCCCTCCGGACACTCCACGAAGCCTTAGCCAGAGGCTGCCCAGTGTTGGCAGCTTCTGGAACACTCAAGGACAAGCTCTGTGAGCCCATGGATGGCCCTGGGGCTCCTCCCTCACTGCCTGGTGGTGTGGGTCCAGTGTGGGCATCTCGGACACTGCTGGAACCCTTCCTGGCACCTGAGGCTCCCTTACGCCCCCAGCACTCATCATGTAACTGGCTCTTGCAGGCCGCCGAGGGAAGGGCCACAGGGGCCCAGCACACAGGGCTCAAGGGAGGCTGGCCTCTCCCTGGGACTTGCTGGGTCGGGGACTTGGTGAGATTGGCTCCATGTGAATTCTTGACGGAGGCAAGTCCTGGGTTTGCTGTTCTAGAAGATTCCATAGGCTTCTTAGGTTCCCAGCATGCTTGACTCTCACTGGGCAAATTCATCATGATGTCACCAGCCAAGGGGACAAGTCAGCCACCCTGCACACGCTGGACTCTGCCCACAGCACACACAGAGCCGGGCATGGTGACGGTGCAGAGAGAAGACATTTCAGCTGGAAGTTGGTCTTCACTGGCTTACAGGTAGCCCTTCAGTGTTTTCCTCACACTTGATTATTGGAAGAGGTGTGGTTGCGTGTCAGCTGCCTGTGGCCACGGGAGCACACCCTACAAGTGACCTGGTGGCTGTTGAGAATGGAGAAGGTCCAGCGAGGCAGCATGGGCCTGTGGGGAGTGTGGGCCCTGAGGCCGGCAGAGGGGCCAGGCTCTGAGACCTGGGCACTCAGCACCCCCACCCAGCCCCCTTCCAGATCTGCAGAGTGGGAATCACAATGCCCACTGCAGGCAGGAGGGGCTGCAAGGGCGCTTAGGTAAGGCAGGGCTCCCCTGGGCAGGGAGGCACTCCCTTAAGTTGCTATTCCCTCCCCCACTGGTGCCCACCTGATGAGAAGTGCTGCCACAGCAGCAGGTGCTGGATGCATGCGTCTCTCCCTTGTCCCCATGGAAGTCTCCAGCAAGAACACACAGCTGCTGTTCCTGCCCTTGTTCCCCATAAGGACGAAGACCTCAGTGGCCCTGGGCATCGGGGCGGTCATGCTGCTCTTGGACATCGACGGCCTCCTGCTGCTCGGGCACCGCTCGTATTTCACCTCTACCTGAGTATGTGCCTCTGAGCCCCCACTCCAAGCTGGCCAGTATGCCCCATGCTCACACGTGTCCTGAGGCAGGAGGCCCCTCCTCCAGCCTCTACCAGAAATGAGCTCAAAGCACAAAGAGGCACCTGAGAGAGGCAGCAGGGCTGAAGTCCGCCCCAAGGCACACAGGAAACACGAAGGCATTTGAAAAATAGTAAGTGGAGATGCTCAGAGAGAAAACGCAATAGCATCTATGAGGCAAGAGCGGGATAATATGAAAAAAAGAACAGGGGAGTTAGAAAAGCACCAACCGGAGAGTCTAACGATGGACACGAAGTCCAGTGACAGGGTATCTGCCAAGCGGACACGCAGGCTCCATCGTGTCCTTGCGTGAAGAAGGCAGGCTGTCCCCCAGCCTGCAGAGCCCTTCCCTGGATGGAACCACCGCCACGCTGTAGTCTCCCAGAGAAGGTGGCCCAGGAGGGGCCTCTTGGTCTACTGCAGGGGACATCCCAGCTGAGCCAGGCGAGTGCCCAGGCTCAGCCTTGGGCCCTGGCCAGCTAGGCTCTTCCCAAAGCTGCTGAGTGCACCGGAGGGAGGGCAGTGGGGTGGCCCGGGCTGGGTGCGTTTGGGAGGCAGCACCCCAGCAGCCACATGCATGGGAGCCTGGAGGTGGCAGGTGGGCAGGCCAGCCCATCTGGGAACCTGCTGCAGCCTTCAGGACATGGCATGAGCTCACAGGGATGCAAGAGGGACACTGGGGATCTCAAAGCCACAGGACTTGGTGGCAGCTGGAGTTTGGGGACAGGGGCCTCCCGGGCTCTAACTTGGGGAAGCAGGAGACTGACTGTACATGGAGATGCACAGGAGGCCCTCTGAGAAAGAGCGCGTTCAGGACCAAGTGTCAGTTTTAGGATGTTCCAGCATTGGAGACCTCCAGGAAAATGCTGATATTGCTTACTGTTAGTTATAGTAAAATTAAATGAAAATGTATCTGCTTAGAACAGCACATAGCTGTCACCTCTGTCCCCACGGGCCAGGAGCCTGGCAGAAGAGCCACAGCTCCAGCCCTGGGGCTTTCCTGACTCCGGTCAAGGTGCTGCAGGGTCTGTGGGCTCATCTCGGGTGGGGCGCACCCACTGGCAGGCTCATCGCCAGGCCACGGTGGGGCTGTTCCTTGCCTTAGCTCTTGAGTCGGCCAGCGGCCACCTCCCATTCTTTGTCACGTGGATGCTCCCGTGCATCAGAACGCCTGTGACAGGGCAGCTGGCTCCGTCAGAGCGAGCACGTGAGGGCAGCAGGACGGCACCCAGCCACGGAGCAACGTCCCTTCACCTGGCCCACAGGTTGCCAGGACCAGCCACAGTCCCGGACAGGCTGCACAGGCGCGAACACCCTGAGGTGGGGGCTGCAGGGACACGTCAGAGCTGCGGGCAGCTGGATGTTCCATTTTGAGGCTTGGGAGAGGGACCTCTGAGCAGACTGTGGAGTCGGTGTGGGGGGACAAGCCAAGCCAGAACAAAACAAGGAGAAGCGCCAGGCCGTCATGGAGACCACCCAGGGAAGGAGACGGCTGGGCCCACGGGCTCACCCACCCGGGCAGGCAGGCTCAGAGTGTCCTGGTGGGTGGGGTGAGTGGGCAGCCTGCCTGCTGTCTGCTCCAAAAGCTGCAGATAGGCTCCTGCGGGTGGCCCCTTCCACTCTCCACTCCTGCGGGCGGCCCCTTCCACTCTCCAGAAATAATTACAAACCATCTGTTCTTGTGTTTGTTGGTTTTCTGGGGAAGAAATGGAAAATGTGGCCCCTCCACGGAGCATGTGGATGAAATAGGCACAGAACCAATGTTCATTACTGATGCTTTTCTATTGAAAAACATATGTCTCCGATTCTTCTAATAACCTGGGGAGCTTCTGCCATGTGCTGAAGCCAGGGTCTCAGCTTTGTTCAAATGGAGCTGGGCCAGCATTTGCCAGAGGTCACACTCACTTCGTGGTCCACACGGCTGGCAGGGCCACCACTCCCAGGGCAGCGTCCATGGGCCTCCAGCAGCTCCAGCCTTCCGAGTCAGGGACGGCTCCCAAAGCTCAGCGTGGAGCCCTGGGAGGCAGGTGGTGCAGGCTGCACACTGCCACCCTGCATCCCTGTGGATGGTGGAAGGTGACTCTCCCTTCGTGCTGTTCTTTCTAGTGGTCAGGAAGTCGAGCACATTTGATCATATGGCACAGGGCCTCCAACAACAGAGCTCAGAAGTCTCAGCAGGGCAGACAGATCCGCGTTCCAGATAGCAGGATTGCCTCTGCTTCACACTCACGTGTCCCCAGGCCCCCTCTGTGGCCGGGACCTCTTAGCCACAAGCCTCTGTGTCTGTGCCCGGTGGTCCAGGGAAGTGTGTGTAGTGTGTGTGCCACAGCGCATACCTGTGTCTGCTGTGTGGTGCCTGTTAGATGGTTTCTGTGTTCACTCCTCAAGGGACTGGCCAGCAAGGCTGACTCCTTTTAATCCCCATTTCTGCCACTGCTTCTCATCAAATTAAAAACATTTGCTCTTCAAAAGGTCACCATTAAGAAAGTGAAGATATAAACCCAGACAGAAATATCTGCCAGTGCAGAATACATAAAGAACTTCCAAAACTCAAATAAGAAAAATGACCAAGGTTTTTCAATGGGCAAAAGCTTTGAACAAACTCTTCAGCAAGGAGACCTGTGGGTGGCAAATAAGCACATGAAGTTGGTTCCCATCACTCAGCATTAGGGAAATGCAGGTCAAACCATGGCGGGGTGCACCACACACGCCTGGAGGGTCAGTCCTCAAGAAGATTGCCACCGCCAAGGGCTGCTGGGGCCGTGGAGGGGCACGTCACCTGTGCTGCCCATGGGGAGGTGACATCACACCACTTTGGAAGCAGTTTGGACTGAAGAGTGCAGTCCAGCCGTCCCACCCCCAGTTCTCACCAAAGGGAAGTGAGAACATGCACGCGTGTGACGAGGTGTCTTGCCAATGGGTTTCAGCCCCGGCAAGTTCGCTATGGATTCAGTGTGACCAAAGAAATTGACAGCAAAGCATTCTTGGGGCAAAAGGGTTACACCCAACTAATATTTCCATGGTGGCAGGTCAGTCACTAGAATCCCATTCACTCAGAGGGAGTCTGCATGCAGCAAGTCGGTCTCTGCCTCTGGGCCCCTCTGTCCACACAGCCATCCTCTGGGCCTCTGTCCTCAGCGCTGCCACCACTCCAGCCTCTGCTCTGCTCTCCTGCAGCCTTGCAGCCCTGCCACCGTGTTGCGCCCAGAGCACCGGGCAGAGCTCTTTTTTTTTTTTTGAAAGCGCATCTCTCATATTTATTGATCAAATGGTTGTTAACAACAATAAAATTCTCTATAGGGGGGGGTCAATGCTCAATGCACAATCATTAATCCATC